TATAATAGTACTTTACTACTAGTCTAGTCATTACTAATTAGTGGTACGTAGTAATAGAAGACGATATACATTATTATTTATAGTAATAAAAAATAAAATAATATATATATATATATATATATATATATATATACACACCGATGTATACGTATATTTAACAAAACAGAGAATTTTTAAGTTATATAAACAAAATAGTAAAGCATACTAATAAAGATAGGAATAACTACAGAATCATAAATAAATATAATCAGTCAATTTACTTGGACATTACCAAACACTAGTTATTGCTAAATAAACTATATTTCTAAAATTGTCAAGCCATTTCACAAATCTAAAACTATCCTTGGCTGAAAGTGCTTAAATGACCTAATTAATGAAAAGCTAATTGACATTTGCTTTAGGATCATTTACATCCTATGAGAACAGATTTGAAATATCAAGCTTTCAGTTACCAAAGTAGAAAAGTCCTTAAGACATTTGCATGAATTACAGTATTTTTATAATTTTGAAAGATATGTCATACTTTAGTAAAAAAACAAAAAAGGTTTTTGAGATGATCTTGCTCACAGTAAGGGTTAAAAAAGCTATCTTGAATTTTAATTAGCTTGAAGACTTTAACTGTATCTAAGAAAACAAGCTACGACGCAAGTTAATTATTCAAAATAAAATCATAAATCAAATGAGAAGAGATCACAGTGTCATGGAATAATAGAAATGTCCGTATTATTTTCTATCTTGGAATCTATCACTGCCATGGTCTGTGAAAGTTTCTCAACTTCAAGTATTTGTAATCATTCATTTTTTTTGGGGGGGTGGTGGTGTCAAGTGTTAAAAAGGTAAATGTTATTTAATAAACAGAGTAAGACACATGTGCATGGATTTTCTTTTTTAATGAATGTAGTTATCTTGTATGTTCGTGTGTATGTATATATGCACATACACATATCACTAAATAGATATTTATAAAAGTCTCTTGTCATTTCCCATATTTAATAAATATCACCTACACATTTTGTATGCATATTGACACTTTTAATGTACAATAAAACAACATACTATTAAAACTTACGATACACTCTGCGCAATAGCACCAGCTAAGCCTCCACACAGCAGTTTAGCTGGGACAATTAGTACCAATCCACCGGTATTGCGAGAACATGGTCGACCACACGTTGTAGGGAAGTATTCCAAGCTAAATGCTTTAAGTCTTTCAAAAACATAGAACGACAAACCTGTTGAAAAGAAGTTGCACAAACAAACTTGAGACATGGTTAGATTATGAACTAAACAGCAGGACAAACAAACACAATTATTATTAAATTTTTTATCACATGTTGCTAATAGATAGATCTTCAAGTTAAGAAACATGGTATAAATTTTATTACTATATAACATGTCATAACAACTAGCTTATACTATGGACTATGAATTTAAAACTCATGATATAGCAAGATATTACTTTTTATGATTCAATTCACAACACTGCGTAAACAACATCCTATATATAACCTTCATTCAGCTTCTAGGGTATGAATAATCAGTTCAAACAGTGGATACAATGTTAAAGATTACCATGTAAAAACAACTTTAAAATATGGAAGAAAACACGATCAACTAAGATTCAAACATATTAAAGATATCAAAATTTCAGTGTTTTAAAAATAAACTATTCTATTGAATATTACTATAAAATCAAAGTTTATTAAGTTATTTTTAGTAGAAGTGTTTGTTTGTAAGTAAGAACAAAGCTACACAAAGGGCTATCTGTGCATGCCCATCATGGGTATCAAAACCTGATTTCTAGCATTGTAATTCTGCAGACATACTGCTGTGCCACTGGTTTTTTTTTTTTAAATTCCAACAATGGTTGGACAGAGATTTGAACCCATGGCCTGTGGGTTTTGAGGTGAGCACCCTAACCATCTGGCCATGCCAAGCATTTTAGGAGAAAACAAGCACTATACCTGCATATGGTATCATCGCCAAAACCGTTGGCGACAATCCTTGGTACAGAGCTCGAACTCCTCCTTCCTGCAAATAAAAAATGAAAAAGTAGCAACGTTTTTAAAATGTATTTTATTGAAAACCTAGTAACAAGAAATATATTTTAATATCAACTTACTGATAATATGAAATAATTGTATTAATATATATTTTGAATTATATTTTTTATAAGTGTTATGTGTAAAAAGTTTATACAGGGTGATTCAAAAAGATTTTTTCACCTATATGGAATTTTCTGTTACAGGGGTTTGATAATGGCAACAAGGCTGAGTTTAGAGAAAATAAAGAAGGTTGTGGCCTGGATGGAGGTTCGCCAGTCTCCCACAACCATATAAAGGATGTTTTGTTAATCCTTGAAGTTTGACCCACCTTCCAGGTTGACTATTTATCGAGTGTAAAATAAGTTCATCAGAACTGGGTACGTTACAGATGATTACAAAAGAAACAATGGTCGTCCAAGAACAGGAAGGTTTCCTGCAATGTTTGACAAGTTTCAGACATGTATAGATATTTTTGGAGAGCAAGTTGAGACTGTATGAAACATAGAAAATACAAAATATAAACCCATACAAGTTAAAATTTTTTTAAATCATCCTGTATTTTTACTGAAACTTACATATCAGTATCTTTAAAAGTAAACCAAATACTTAGTCTAGTGTTTGCATATACATCTTCCAGATAATGAAAGTTAGAATAAAAGCAGAAATTAAAAGATTTATGCTTGAGCTACCATAACAGTTAGATATAAAATCTGTGCCACTGTGTGAAAAAAGTTTAAATTTTCTTTTGATCATTTCAGGAAAGACATGATTCTATACAATCTCACCTTGGTAAATTTTTTTTAGTTACATTGTTCGCAGTAGGGAATTTCTTGGAAGTAAATGCCTGTTAAGTTATTACACAAAATAAATTTTTCTTGTTTTCTTATTATGAGATGACAACTTACTGTTTTGAATATACACACAAGTGTGTGAAAAATGCCATTGTAGATGTGTTCACCTGTGATCTGAAATGCAAGACGTGCTCTGACCACATCTAACGGATAGGTAAACAGAACAGCTGTAACTCCTGCAAAATAAAAAACAAATGTTAATAATTTTAGGAAATTTAGATTAAGTAAAAAAAAAACAATAATTTCCAGTTATATAAAACTTCTATCACCAGATCACAGACATACACACACACACACACACATCAGGCCTGAAAATCATATATACCTATCGGCCACTAGTGTTGCATAATCAACAATCTAATTTTTTCAAAAACATGTTCTTTTATAACTATTAGGATCTGTTATTATAAAAAAAATATTGCAAGATAAAAATACTAAATAAGTATGAAAAAATTATGCAAAAGCAAAACTTCAACTTACTGTTTACTGGGCCATTTTTAACATAGCCTACAAACAACAAGGGGGACCGTTTGGTCCTTCGTGGCTGTCACTGCACACTCACCCTTGAGAATGATAAAAATTTAAACCCATGCACACTTTTTGTTTTAATAATCATCAACTCCCCCTCTTAAACTATCATGATAGGAAACTAAAAACACCAACAAAGATGTCCTACTTCTGTGAAATCCAACTGATGAGTTCTGTTGTATCGTAAAGGGTGTTAAACTTTTAACTCTTTGCCAAAATTACTGTAAAAAAATATATTCTACACACACCTTAGTAAATATTGAATAGTTTAGATTGGAAAACTAATAATGTATTATCTTCATATTACAGATTACA